TGACAGAACCTGGTATCAGGTCACGAATTCCACTCTCACGAGTGACATCCTTTGCAGTAACACCATCTTTCATGTAGAACTGGTCCATAACTGCTGGGTCAAGCTCACTCATCAGAATTTCCAGGGTTTGATCTGGCTGACTGATTACCCTACTCTCTGGGAAATCCAAAGTATACAAGTACCAACAGTCAGAATTCATACGTCCCATACAATATGCTGCTCCATTTGGGAAAATTGCATTAAGAAACTCTATTTCTTCCTGGAAATTCCGGTGTGGGTACCCTTGGTGAGAAGGCTTCATGAAATTCTTATGAGAATAAAAGAAGCTTTGAATTGAGTCAAACCCACTGTAATCCCTAGCAAGTTTCAACAGGGGAACCAGTGCTTTCAGCAAGAGGGTGGTACCACATGTCTTCAAAATGAAACGTCTCTTGGAGACAAACATGCTACTCTCACTGAGTACATAAGCTTCCTGCTTGTCAGTTTTTGTCACACTTATGATTGAACATTGCACATCCTTCAAAAGTATGTCCCACTCGGATCTTGGGATGGTGCGAAGATCCCCCGATCCTTGACTCGCGTCGGCTTGCTGCTTGGAGAACCAAACCTCCAGTAGCTTCTCAGTCCCTTCGAAAAAATGTGCAGCTTCCATCACCGTGAGACTAGCGAACAACCAACAACCACAGAAAATCAACTAAATTAAATCTCTTCTCCCGCCGCTGCTGCGGATTGTTCCAGCTGTTTCAGGTTCCTTTTTTTTGCTACAATTTTATATTAACTTTTTTAAAAAAAAGAATTAATAAAATTTCCCCGGCTTTTGTGTGTGTGTGTGAGCGAAAAGTTGAACGTGAGTCTGTTGGAAATAGAGGCAGATACAGTTCAGTCTCTTGTAGTCCGCTGTTTCCCCGTTAGAGAGCGAGCTGAGCGAGCGCTAGCTAATGTCGCCGGCCATACTGTGGAAGCTGACTGACTTTTTATATAATATTTTTCACTAACCTGAAGTGAGACCATTATTGTTCTCCAGGACCTGAGAGGTGATCATTTGCCCCAAGACATGTGAGTAGCGTTCGAATCACACATCCAGTCCTGGTCCTCTGAGGCTGTCTGGCCACGGACTGTCTAAGCCTTGCTGTCTTACAAGCAGAGGTGGCTCTGTTCTTTGGCTGTTGGGGTAAGTCTTCCTAGCGGTCTGACCTTCAGTGCGGACTGTGATTCCCGCAGCAGCACACACCTCTCACTCTTCAATGACAAGCTCATAGTTCGTTCCTCCCGCTTACCTTCAGGAATGACCTCTTTGTGCCAGGCTCACCTTTCTCTTTCTCTTTCTTTCTCACTACATGTTAACTCTTCCCTGTTTTATTTGCTTTTAATTTCTATTTTCTCCTTTTCCCCGCCTTCTGTGGTCTCCTTTTCCCCCTAGCCTTTCTCCATCTATCAAGTGACTTTTCAACTGGTTATGGCCCTTCTGTTCCCAGCTGTGCTGTAGATATTCCTTCTTCCTCATTTTCGCCCTGATGACCACCTCTCTTTTAAAGACTTGGCTTCAGGTGAGTTTGAGAAACAGAACCAGCAAAGAGAGCTCTCACGAGGCAGCTCATATGGAAAGGAACCCAAATAATAGTCATCCGAATCTAGGAAGGCTTGTGATTTTTTTTAGCTAAACATTAGTATGAGAGGAACCCTGGCACCTTGAACAAAGTAGGTATTCCATTAGTATTTACGAATGACATCAATGAACAGGAAATGAAACGATGTACTCAGAAGAGCTCACTTCATGACAAAAATATTTCTTTCTCTATGCCTTTTGAGGTGTTGGAGTCAGTTTTCATTCCGATAAGCCTTGCTTTCTATACCCAGGAAATGAATACACCATAGACATGTGAGATAAGGCCTTGCTCTTTCATGGAGTGCAGTCGGCCCACCTGGTCAGTGTAGCATAGAAACACTAGATTGGGAGTTTCTTGATGGTGGGACCTTGTTGATTCAAGTTTAAACCTCTGTGCTTAGGCACCATGTAATTTTGGGCTATTGCAGCATGTCATCTCTCTTGCTCAGATCAAATGTTAGGAAGGGTCTCTGCTAGGTCACACACCTCTGCTACTACTACTTAAGGCAAACTGCAAAACAGGACTTTTGTTCCTGGAATATTTTGTTGTCTTCCCACCTCCCACCTTTGTCTCTCTCTGCTCTCTTCCAAGTACTCTACACCCTCATGTTTTCCCCTGACGAAAGCCCACCCCCCCATCACCACAACCTCTAAAGACTTGCCAATCCCCAAATGTCCTGCATTCTAATTGGATTGGCTTCCTTTGCACTAACAACCCTACACCACCTTCACCAACATTGTTATTTATAGGTTACTGATCTAAGATGGAGCATTTGTTTAAAGTGAGTCTTTATAAAATACGAATAATAGGCAGGCTTTGTCCAAATTAATTTCTGCTTAGTGGAATGTGTAAAGAGATTGTCCTAAATTCTATAGTGGGACTCCCTATTGGAAGAGGTATTAATTAGGCATCCCACTAGAAAGTATGTTGATCCCTCCTCTGCTTTGTCACTCCTCCCTGACTCATGGAGCTTACTGTGAGGCTGACCTAGCTTTGGGGAAGTACTTTGCTGTCCTGCCACGAGCTCATGTGCCAGGAAGTAATTTCTAGGCTTTGTCTGGTAAAGTTCATCAACTTGCTTTGAAGGAGTCCTATAGGAAGAATCCAGGAAATCAATAGAGGGTTTTGTGTTGCCCTTAAGCATCTCTAAGGGAAGAGATTTTCACCACCTCCTTGGTATGCCAATGTATCACAAACTTTATGACCATTACGATTCTGCGGTGTAATTTAAAGAGAATTAAAAAATGCAGATGCACACAAATGTTCATACATTAAAGAAAATGTTATGTGACTTTAAACTGTCAGATTTCTAAAGTGTTTTCTAGAAGTAGAAAACTTTTAAGACAGACCCAGTAATATTTAAACCCAAGATAAGTTTTGATATTGATCTGTAAGAAAGTAGGCAAGATTTAGTGATAAATTAGATCATTAAGAATTGAGACCTAACAAGGGAAGGCATTTGCTGTACATTTACTGTTTACTTGTATTGTAGCACCACCTAGTGTTGATAGAGAAATGAGTTCTCCACAGCTTTCCTAGCTTTCTTACCTCCCAACTGAAAGATACCTACAGTATACTGGTACTCTTGGCCTGTCAGCCAAAACAATGCTGCTCAAAAATGTTTCTAAGTTATAAAATTCAGATAAATGAAGTATTATGCCTTCAATTAGGTAATGATTAGAATGTACATATTTATTGACATGCGTATAAGACATTTTAAAAATATATTTTTACTGATTTCAGAGAGGAAGAGAGAGGGAGAGATGGAAACAACAATGATGAGAGAGAATCACTGATTGGCTGCCTCCTGCATGCCCCATCCTGGGGATTGAGCCCGCAACTTGGGCATATGCCCTTGCCGGGAATTGAACCCTGGACCCTTTTGCCTCCTGCATGCCCCATCCTGGGGATTGAGCCCGCAGCTTGGGCATATGCCCTTGCTGGGAATTGAACCCTGGACCCTTTTGTCTGCAGACCGATGCTCTGTCCACTGAGCCAAACCAGCTAGGGCCATATCTGTCATATTTTATCGTTTTTAGGTCTAATGTCTTTTTATTTCCTAAAAAAACAACCTGTAGGGGCTGGGAAATTACTGATGATTTTTAACTTAAGTTGCTCTTTCAACAAATAAATCTTGACATGGTGAAACATCAATTCCTCTGCTGTTACCATATTAAGTCCATGGTTATTATTTTTGCTCCAACTCCCTTCCTGCCACTCCTGACAGGGAACATCAGCTGGGGTATTGACTTTTAGAAGTTCACTATCTAAGCAGTGATGGCGAACCTTTTGAGCTCGGCGTGCCAGCATTTTGAAAAACCCTAACTTAACTCTGGTGCCGTGTCACATATAGAAATTTTTTGATATTTGCAACCATAGTAAAACAAAGACTTATATTTTTGATATTTATTTTATATATTTAAATGCCATTTAACAAAGAAAAATCAACCAAAAAAATGAGTTCGCGTGTCACCTCTGAGACGCGTGTCATAGGTTCGCCATCACTGATCTAAAGTATGGCCCAAGGACTGGAAGCTTAGGCAACACCTGGAAACCTATTAGGAATGCAGAATCTTTGCCCCTCCACCACATCTACTGAATCAGAGACCGAACTTTAGTAAGATCCCCAGGTGACTGAAATGCCCATTAAAATTTGAGAAGCACTGTTTTAGAGACTTATTCTCACCCCTCCCCTACCAAAGATTGAACATCAATCAAACCAAGACTAAAGACTCATTATAATTTTGGATTTTCATTTTATTCTTGGGAAAAGTTACATAAATTTTGTCTAACTCCTGACTTATTTTATATAAATTGTATCGCTGCTGCTGTTGGGACTTATATCAGCAAACAAAGAAGTCACAGTCCTTTTCTACTGGGTCTGTCAGCTTCATCTCTTGGGAGACATAGTCAGAGAGCCAATTAAAGACGCTGAGAGGAGAATGGCCAACTCTGAAGTTTTAGAGCATGCAGACGCTAACAAAATATTTAGGTTTGCTGTGATAAACTCAGTTTGAACAGAGTGTAGAAATTGAGGCCTAACTAATTCCTGGCAATTGAGATAGGAAGGAACACTTAGAAACTGTATTATTATTATAGTTGGAAATTTTAAAGATTGAATTTTTTAAAGCCTTAATTTTATCTCCTTCTATGTATACATCTAGTAAGTTTAATATAAGAATAAGAGCAGTTACTGCCTTTTGTTTTTTGGTTAATCTACATTGGCTCCTAAGTTTTAACAAATTAATATCATTCACAAATTTAGTTACATTTCCTAAAACATTTTAACCTATATAATGACCTCAAACATCTTAGATGAATAATAGGATAAACGTAAAAGGTGCTCTTTCTATGCACTTAGATAAATTAGAAAATGTAATAAACCAAACTCATAAGTATGATAAACTAGATGTTTTAACATTAAAAGTAATACAGTTCTTTTATTTAAAAACACCATAGCTTATATCAATGAAGCACTTCAAATTAAAACTTGAAGGCACTATTATATTTCAGATTCTTTAAAACATTTCAAAAGTTAAGTAATTAACACAGATTATCTGCACAATTACAAAACTGACTGCTAAATTTAGAACAAAGTACCATGGCTTAGGTTACAGTTTTTTACTTAATTTCTGCGTTTGCCTAGTGTTTCATAGTCTCATATACAACTAAAGGAAGCAGAAGTTATTTGATCCATGACCAGTGTTTCAATCCCTTGGGGGACAGGTGTATAGTAAAAGGTACTGTGGACCAGAATGCCAGACCTGGGCATTATTTCCAAAAATGATTACCAGGCTGAACCTTCTTATATATGTTTTTAAGTCTTCCCTGCCAATGGGGCAATCCCAGTCCATGGCTTTCATGTGGGACTTAGCTACACAACCCAATGCCTCTCTTGTCCCCGGGGTGTATTCTACATTTATTCCATCTTAATTGGAAACTCTCTTAATGTTCTCTCCCTCAATTTGGGTAGATGGAATTCTGTACCCTCCACCAGGGCTGCATCTTAATTAGCATTAATGGAAACCTATAGCCCCATCCAGGATATAAACGGTCTTTGTAGTTTATTACCTGTTTCATCTGCCTCCATTTTATTGTCATTCCATTGACACTGCCTTTTACCTGGAGTTTGGCTATGAATGAAACTGTGCATGGTGTTACCAGACCCCCCCCCCCCCAGTAAGCACAGATATTGCAGTATGTAAAGCATTGTGGGTTATGACTTTTGTGCTGGCACAATTATTGTGAGTAAATCAAGAACAATAGTCTCTATGAGACTTCTTGCAGACTTCAATATATGGAAGCCGAGTGGCTTGTTATTTAAAAGAAACTAGAAGTTTGAGGGTGCAC